CAACCACCATCCTTCTATCAAACTAACCGCAAACGTGAGTGACAAAAGCATAGACTTTCTAGATCCCACAGTCTTTAAGGGAGATTCCATAGCAGAAACAAATAAACTGGATATTAAAGTGTATTTCAAAGAAACTAATACTCATCAACTCTTGCACAAGAGCTCCTTTCACCCAAAACATACCTTTTCTGGTATAATTAAGTCACAAGTTTTACGATTTCATCGAATTTGTACAAGATCTTCTGATTTCAACCAAGCCTGTACGATTGTTTTCTCAAAACTGAAAGAGCGTGGGTACTCTAAACGATTTTTTTACGAAACATAAAAAATTCCACCTTAGCACAGATAGCAGCTAAAAACAGACTTTTTGCCGAAGTACCTCCAGGTTTAAGAAGTGTACCATGTTTGTCCAGTAGATGCAAAACATGTCCCTTTATATCAGAAACTCATTATTTTGTAAGCAACTCTACGAATAAAAGGTACCCGATCCAGGAACATCTAACATGTGAACATTCGAATGTAATATATTTAATTTCATGCAAGAAATGCCCCAAACAATATGTAGGAGAAACTAAGAATAATTTACGAACTCGCTTTAATGCTCATAGGTCAGACATCAAATTAAAGAAAGACAAGCCTGTTTCTAATCATTTCAACCTCGACGACCATTCAATAGACGATCTCACCCTAATCCCAATTGAGCGTATAGAAATTGACTTGCCCGAAGATGAAACTACCAAATTCCGTCAATCTAGGGAGGCCCATTGGATTGAGACATTGAATACAGCAAGACCTATAGGACTAAATATTCATCATAATGTAGGCATAGCAACCTTTGTTGTCCCGTTTAATACAACCAGCAATCGAGCAAGCAAGATAGTTCATGCCCACTATAAGAGCCTTCAAGAGAAATTCCCCCATGTCTATAAGCAGAAAATGATAGTTGCATATTCAAAAAATAAGAACTTAAATGATAATATTGTTCATAGTAAACTAAAAACAATCAGTACATAACAGATACTATACTTCTCGCCCATCGGGCGAGTTACTTTTTCTAATTTCAGATCAGAATAAGAACAGAAGAAAACCCAATATCAAGACCCTTAATCCTAATTTCTAAATAAAGTGTCTGCTCCACCCTAGGCCTGTACATTTGGGAGAATCAAACCCTCCCCCCGCCCCCCTTCACTCGTTTTGGCATTACAAAATATTCATAAACATGAAAGCCAATCTATGCACATTCATGGTCTTTCTTCTATGACTGATGGGACATTGAATAGATATTACCCCATACTTCCCCCATATTACCCCATGACAAAAATTAAGCCCCCTTCCATATCCTGCAAGAGGAATTTATAGCCAAAAAAGATGACTTTTGCAGCCTGGCACTAGTGCATGTGTTAAAGGCATCCATTTTGTGTGAAAACATGTGAAGACAAACAAATAATTACAATTTTGATACATTGCTGAAATGGCATTTTTCAATAGAAGTGGCCAAAAATTCAAATTTTGGACAAAAGAATATGCAAATGTAGCCATAAAAACTAATTTAGTCTTTATTCTACCTATTCTGAAAATTCCATACAAAATCATTCACAACTTTTTGAAAAATATCAACTCCACTAATTCATTTGCCATCTCTTCCCATGTTAAACACGAAATTCAACCTTCTATAACTTTTTCCAGAAATCTCGTTGAAAGCTTTCCAATATGTCGAATGAAAGCCTGACCAATTCTCCTAATGTCTCCTAAAAATTCATTATATGATGACCATGAAAATTTTGAGCTACTAAAATTGAAAGTAGACTACTACCGGTTATACTCATCCGCTAGAGTTTGGCACTTTACAAAACGACTATTTTTAGAATTAGCCTTCCGCCTCTCATCAAATCTGAAAGATAATGCAATTTCAGACATCAAATTCCAAATCTTGACCAAATTTTACCCAAAAATAGGCAGGCAAAAACCCGAAAAAGGGACAGAGAAAGAAGATTTCTAAAAATAGCCTGGACTACATATACAATCATTTGCATAAAATGTTTTAGTTTTGAGTCCATCAATTGGACGCTATTGGAAGCACATGAGTTCTTGCCCTTTATTTACAAATTTCCGATTTGACTTGAACTGATGGCTTGAAAGCACATGATTTAAAGAGACAGAAACGCCATTTTTGGATCAATTATACCTTGATTATAATGTGTCTCAGAAACGGGGATTTTTTTTTTTAGCCAAGCCAATCAGTAATATAGTGTCCACAGCTCAAAGTCCAAATTTCAGCCTCCATATCCATATGTGTACAGAATTATCTACATTTCAATGTTAAAAAGATTTGGTCAATAAGGGTATATATTCACCAGTTGGACAAACAAAGTGTCATGACTAAAACTCACACACACACACATACCTTTTGTGTAGTTGTTATGGAAGTCGACTTGTCAATCAGATCCAGATGAACCATGGAAATTAAAACTGAGTTCAATTGATTAGTGATAATAGTACATACGATATGGTACATCCATTTCATGACTGCACATCGGATGTATGTCATCTCGCTGGAAAACACCCCACACCCTCTCGCCAGTAACACCGTTTCTAAGAAGGACAATGCGGAGGGATTCAGAACACATGGTGGGCATGAACAATTTGCTTTAAGGTATATACCTAGATGTCTCACATCAAATTTTATTATAAAGATAGTCCTTACATATAAATATAATAAATAAAAAACAATTAAATACAAACAGACATTTTATAGAACGTGGTCTTCTTTTGTACCTCCGATGCATCTTTCAGTTACCCGTGTCATTTTTAAAAAGAAAATAAATTGTTAAGAGATTCCTACTAAACTAAACTTTTTTTAACGTCACTAATTACAAAATAATATGCTGTATCACATATTAAATAGGGACTTTGTGATTATTGACGTCATAGAACGTTCAGTTTTATTGGAATTTCAAGAACCACAGACGTCGGAATGAAATAGATGCTTTCAGTGTTCCAGATACACATAAAGAAATTTAGAAAACCTCTTTACAATCCCTTTAAGTTTCGTCTTACCATCATGAGCTCAAACTCGAGGTTCGTCTTACCATCAGTAGCTTTGAAACACGTATGTTTTATTTCAGTTATTCAGGCGTTACCACTGTCAAAATACGCCTGCAATTGCAAATGAAATTCAAATCTCGCCATTTTCATTATTTAATGTGAATTCGTCTTGAAACATTTCACAGATTATTGTTTTGTAAAGTATTAAGGGGGTTTAAGCCGGTGAATGTCTACGGTTTAAACACACATTAAGAAGACTAATCTAATTATTCAATCGTTGATTAGATCTTGGCTTATACAGACGTGATCGCGGTCTGCTTATTTCAGCAGTCTGGAAACCTTTAATTGGAAATATTGCACTTCTATCAATACCAGCTTTCCTGATGATGGACATTTCTGAATTAGGAAGAGTTTGCTGGTCTCTTTCAACGTTTTTAATTTTATTGTCTCTTTGAATACTTTGAACGCTGCTTTGAGCGTTTTTATTTTGATTGCCGCTTTGAATATTTTGATTGTCGCTCTGAATATTTTGATTCTCATTTTTAATATTTTGATTGTATCTAAGGATATTTTGATTGCCGCTTTGAATATTTTGATTTTGTCCAGGGATATCTCTCGGAATGTTTTGACTATGATAAGGCGCCTTTTGAAGATCCCCCCTCTGACGATTTTGATTGTATCTAAGAACATTTTGATTGACTCTAGCAACTTTTAGATTGTCTCTAGGAACTTTTTTGTTTTCTTTTGTAATATTTTGAACGTGTTGATCTACGTTGATAACGTATTCTTTGATAACTTTGTCCACTCTTATAACACCACACAACTCTGTATTTTCAATCCTTTTCCAAAAATTATAAAGTAATTCAGGGTAGACCTTTTGACACGCAATTCTCCGTTCCAACACAAAAGCGCAATGATCTAAATCCATTTCTGGATATTTGTCATATTGGTCAACGGAAATTTCCATATGTCTGGCGTCAAAGACTTTAGCCAGTATTCCAGTAATATACGCATCTTCAATATTCATATAAGGGAAATATTGAGAAACGTTCATAATTTTCACTGCAAGGGGATAGGGCATGATATAAAAATTTCCCTTCACATGCGGTGGGTACCACTCCGGTGAATAAGCTTCATACGAAACGGCGCCTTTACTACTGTTTCCATAAAGATTGGGACGGGTGACTTTCTCAGAGTAAGAATATGGTCCAAAAATTGCATTTTGCGGCGATACGGACATCAACATGTTCACTAGTCTCGGAATATCCACAAACGAGTCTTCGTCCATCTTCATGATATATTTAGTTTTGGGACAATGAGTTCGAACCCATTTGATACCCATTAACACTTTGAGAGTCAAATTGAAATAGGAATCTATAAAGTTGGCCTCCACTATATCTCTATGTTCACTGGCTTCAATTTGAACTGCTTTATTCAGAGGAGCGTTATCGATTGCACCCAGTAAAAATATCAGTCGAACTTCACCGAGTAACCGTCGACCAGGCCAAGGTTCATGACGAGCTATCCTACCCCACGTCTCTCGGATAGCTTTACGTTGGTTATAGGCATCATGTTGTGTAAGAATCAGAATAAATAATGTTGGGTTGTTGCTGGTGGGCGGACAAGCTGGAGGACTATTTATAGTAAAGTTAAAGTCTAATGGGGTGAGCTTGATACTTTTGGGACGAAATGCTTCCGGATAGTTCAGTAAACATTCGTGTCCGTAGAATGAAGGATAATCCTTTTTCAGTAAAAATGAAGGAGTAAAGAAACTTTGGGTGGTTAGTCCAGTCGAATCGGTTCCGGTCGATTGGGAGAATAAGATGAAGATAAAGATGACATAAACCAGGACAAATGTCACTAGAAATCCGTTAATGATTCTCTTCATTCCAACTCCACGCTTCGTCTGAAATACACAACAAATAATAAAATCAATTGAAAGAATCGCTTAAAAGTATGCGACTTATTATGTTCTGTTAAATGGAATACAATGCAGTTAGCCTTAAATAAGTAAAGTAATAACGATCCTAACTGCAAAACGAAACCCAAAATCCACACAAAAGATTGGCGAAACATTGACAGCAGCTAATGAACTTTTCACAAGTATATCTTTCTTTTTAATGATTGGCATGATAAAGATAGGTAATTGGCTTTGCTATTTCGAGCATTGCACAGCCTGCAGCACAAGAGTTTGATATCCTAATATAACGAAAAGATGTTTACATATCAGCCTTGTCAACAGAGGAATACGTCGAATAATGGCAAATGTCACCTCAACGTAGTTTGGAAAAACCAACAACGTTGACGCATGCAGGAGCTCCACTTTCGAGAACCTTGTATACCGCCAAATTAGCAAGCTGGAGTCTAATTTCATGGGTTTGTAAAAGAAAGAAAGATACTAAGTACAATGTCCTACCTTAAAATAATTGGTTAATGATTTGATACCATTAGAATCTAGAGGCTTCATCTTTATAAGTCAAATTCAAAATGCTATAATATAATGAATGGCATTATGTAGATGTATCATACAAATTTCTTTTTTTTCAATTGGCTACATATGTAAGTTATATGATGTTATAACAGTGAAAACAGATTTCTGCAACCACAACTGATACTGTTCATGGTACAGTCAAGCCAGGGATAACCTCCCCAACATTCATGTATAAACCAAGAAGGCAATTCATTAAAATACGTTCGAGTCTGGTCACTTCATCCTTAATTTGAGCAATTGACTACTCACCAATCCGAAATCCAAACTATTCCCCTACGAAATACCAATTAGATGTTAGGTTCCGAGCACGAGTCATCCAAAAATATACTCAGATGGCTAAAATCCCAATGTTAAACAAGTCCGAACGGTAACATAACCAGTTCAGAAATAAAGCCGTGCTGGTCCGAATGGCCGAGTGGCCAGTGGTAGATTGTATGTTTATTATCACTACGATAACAGGATTAACGAACAATACCTAGCAACTATTGTAATATATTTAGATGGCTAATCAACTGAACTAATTATTATCCTCTTTAATTAAATCGGTAGCTAAGACAGTCCAGCTTTAATTTCAATGGGTATAGAGAAGGTAAAGTGACTGATAATTTACTGGTTCATTTAACTTACTACTGTTTGTCCCAATTAGTTTTTCTATTTTTTTACCAGGTGGCCAAACTTTTACTACTAGGTTCAAGACATCAAAACTCACAAAAAGAAATTTAGTGTTGGCCAGTATAGTTTTAATGAATACTTTATCTATTCGCTCGAGGAGATAACTTAAATCGATTATATTAAAAATTTTGTCATAATATATCTATACAATTAATAATTATTATCAGTTGCTCAATACTACGACCGAGCACGAGCATCACCACCATGGCCCGACCAGATCTGAAGATTTCACAACTCCCAAATCAGTACCAAACCGACTTATTGTTCCAGAATCCACTACAAATTATCACGATAACAGCTGTTGTTGAAAACGGAAGTTGTCATCCAACAACTATCCAATCTGTGATATCAGCCTTTTCTGTAAGCGGACGTTAACTTATCATCTACTAACAACCACCCAGTCTACGATAGCAGTTAACTGGAAACGGATATTAACTTGTCATCCACCAAAAACTATCCAATCTGTGATATCAGCCTTTGCTGGAAGCGGACGTTATCTTGGTTGCTAGATAAAGTTATAACCTTACCTTGCTGATTGGCTACCGCTATCCTATTAATGTCACAATCTAACTTATAACTGTGCTTCTAAGTAATCTACCGTCTTGGAATAACTCTCTTCCAGTCTGATAAATATTGGCGAATACACACCTAGTCCAATCTTCTCTAGATATGTCTCAATATTTTTTATAAATTTCTTTTTAATAAGTCCACAACTAACACATTGCATCCGACAATAGAATTTAAATAGAGTACCACGTATTACAAACGTTTCGAACTTTTGTCAACGGTCAATTCAATTGTCCACAAGTTATAATATATTACAATAACAAACATTTACAATCGACGCTTTACATATAGCTCTATTAGGTTGAACACTGCCTCACAAAAGGTAACTTCCAATCTGGTATGTTATTACGAACACAAATTAGTACATGTATAGGCGTTTGTTGCATCACAATCAGTCGTATAACAGTATAACACCGGTAAAAATCTAATCCGTAAATAAGTTGCAATTAGCTGTTAGCTGGGAAACAAGGGATAGATAGGCTATATCCCATTGAAACGTTATATGTAATCTATTGGCTATGCCATCGGATATTTAAGGCATTCTAAAACGTTCATTTGTCAATTATACTCAATTACGGTGAACTGTATCCTGTCAGATTGCTGTGATCACTGATTAACTGTAAAAAATACCCCACCTGAGTGAACGCTATGAACAAATTTTAACCACTGTTCACGCTTTATGAATGTAATTAAGAACGCTTACATGCCCTGTATTGCTTTGTTATAGGGGCGTGATAGCCTCGAGAACAACAGTTGTGCCAATCAGTGGTGACATGTTCTTTGGATTCCAAATTAAAGGGGCAGTTTGTTTTTTAGTCGGTCGAGAAAGTTAGATGTTCAAATAAATAAAAACTATACACCAAAATTTAGAGATATGTATCCCCGAGCTCATTTGAAAGTTTTAACCTAAAATTTCGCCTATGATTTGAATAGAAGCAAATAAGCTTACTAAAACAGCCATCGTTCAGATCCATACAGCAATCAAAAACGATAAGTCTCATTTTAATACAGAACAGCTACCAAGGACGGTAACTCCATTTTTCAGACCCAGACAGCTACCAAGAACGATAATTCCATCTTCCAAATCCAGACCACTAAGTATTTGTTTGAAATTGTTCGTGAGATATCTTGATAAATTTTACTTGGTTTGGTATTTTCATTTCCACTCAAATTACTGATAATATAAAAATTTAAAAGAAAACGAGATTGTAAGCTTTATGTGAAATCTGTATCTGATGTGTGATGTGACAGCCTGCCCCAACTAATACAAATAAATACATCGATCAGACGTTTATACGCTGGGAAATACTAACATTTTGTATTCACCGTATCATCCCCATTATGATTCTCAAGCAACGGTACGATATTATGATCAGAGGCGGAGCCAAAGCAGCTCCGAAAGCAAGTTTTTCAGTCAAAAATCTCATAACTAGGTAAGAGATTCGGGCAATTTCAGATATCTCGCACCCTCTCGGGGGCTGAATTTTGTTAGACAGGACCATTTTAATCTGATGTCACTGATCTGATGGAGTTAACTATTATTACTATTTATAATAAAACCTACAAGATAATAAAATGGAGGTCAATTCAATCTATCAGCGTGTCAAGTTGTATCCAGTTTAATCAAGTTCTAAGTATTTCGGTTACAAATCAGCAAGGATCTATTCTAATACTAATAATTTAGCAATAGAGGTTGCATAGAACACGTCATCTCAAATCTTTAGATCTGTTTTTGTTCTACAAATGACCCAACTATCTTCCAAATGCAAGACAAAAACGGGAATCGTATTTGCACACAATGAAAATGCGTAGACAGTGATTCACGCCTTGTTGTCAGATGAAATGGGGTTGTCCTACTATCAACGAGGGGCTTTATTCTGGAAAACTTTGCTTCAGATGATTTTATAGTGTTCCATTTATCTGATTGGTCAAACACTAGAATTCATTTTAAACTTGGTATTATGAAGCCCCTGGTTTCTGTGGCCTAGAAACGAAATGAAAGCTATAAAGAGGATTGTGGATCACGTCCAGATACGACCACTTCGGTATGCGGTTAATAACAATTCTCGCATTGGTCCCAGAATGGTCAATGTTGCATTTTATCCTCATTTTATGTTTAACACATACCGAGTCTTATTAGAATCTTTTCAGAACTGCAGATTTTAAAGTGTTTACTAAGAAATGTGGACGGAAAGGAGGGCGGACCGACATTGGTGCCGACAATGTATAGACTACTTCCAGGCCAGTTTCAGAGTAACATTAGCCGCTATGAAGTTCTACCTTGCACCTAGCAAACTATCTTGTTAGTTTATAAGAAAGTAGACCTGGTTATAAACCATTATGTCGTGATTTATAAAATATCGATGTCATTGTTGACTATGATAAGCCGGGAGTGATCAAAGTGTAATGTGGCGTCCTTGGACTGAGCCTCTGAATACAATCAGTATGGTTTATATAATCAGGTCGATTATTTACAAATTCTTATCACTAGATCACTGTATAAATAACAACCTGGACCAAAGTCTTACCAGTCATATCATTTTTTGAGTTTCGAGTACTGGAAGTTAAAAAGGTTTGTTATTTACCACCGAAATCACCTATAAAAGGTAATAAATTTCTCAAATATTTCATTCTTTCAATCCTTTTATTCTCAAATCTTAACAGACAGCCTCGAGTGATGATGGATTTTTATTTTCGATTTACTTTTTATACCAAATGAAATTAGATCTTTTGGTGTATGCTCGACGTAAATTCTGCGTATGAAAGGTTGAAACCATGAGCATATGCACCCATTCAAGTATTCATATTTAAATAACTTTGATTGGTTTATAAAAATGTCATTGGAACTGGATAGCCACAGAAAAGGTGTTAGATTACAATTGCGACGAAAAAATATCAAAATTATCGAAATGGTGTAGATTTTCTTTCAAGTATGAAAAAGTGTTTATATACACTGATGCCTGGTTATAATGTTCAACACTCACCAAAAGATCTCTTATTGTGTAACAACATGTTTCAGGTTCTGTTTTAATATTTCTTGAGAATATATTGTATAAATAGATATTGCATATTGACCACTATTTTTCAGATGTTGAACAGAAGATGGGGACCTGCATGGGGGCCTCGTGAACTCAGAACAGGTGATCTTGCTATGTGATCACACATCACTTTTGTTTTTACATTAATTTGCTCTAAAATTATTGCCTTTTTACTGTATAATGTATTCATTGTTCAACCTGTAAAATGTTTTTTTTATTGTATTTTTAACAGTTGTAATATTCAAAAGAAACACCTCCTCGGAAATCTGTAATACTTCCAAAATGAATTTCTACTTTTCTGCTACAATAATATTTTTAAATCTTGATATTTGGTATTTTCATTGTCTAACATGTTGAATGTTATTCTCGATATCTCATATTTTTTCAAATCTACTGTTCTAAATTCCTTTGTAGCAAATAATAGATTTGGTCGCACATGAATTAACCTTCGTTTTTGTATTCTCTTCTCTCTCCAGATAAATGCCATCGTTTCCGGACAATTTCCCAGTTCGTGAAGTGAGATGTACAGAGCAGAAGGAATTCAATGGGAAACCATTCCCCTTAATACTATCACCTCAGTCTAAACATCAACTACAGTCCAACGACGATCTTGTTCAATGGTTGAAAGAAAATAATGACGTCTTCGACAACCTTCTGTTGAAATCTGGAGCCATCTTGTTTCGAGATTTCCCTATCGATTGTCCAACTGCTTTTGATCATTTCGTGAAGTCATTCGGATTGGATCCTCTACCATACGTTGGTGGTGCTGCTCCTAGACGAGTGATAGTTGGTAATGTTTTTACCGCTAATGAATCTCCACCGGATCAGCCAATTCCGTTTCACCACGAAATGGCCCAAGTACCAATCTACCCCAAAGTTCTGTTCTTCTACTGCGACGTTCCACCAAGTGAGGGGGGACAGACACCATTGGTCATCTCCAATGAAATCTACCGAGCCATGAAGGAACGATATCCGGAATTCGTCCACGACTTAGAAGAGAAAGGAGTAAAATATACTCGAGTACTACCTGACGGAGATGATCCTACGTCTCCGATTGGACGTGGCTGGCAGTCTACGTTTGGTACGACGGATAAAGTGGAAGCGGAAGAGAAATGTCGAGCACAGGGCACTTCCTTTGAATGGCTTCCTGGTGGGTGTTTAAAAACAGTAACAGCAGTTTTACCAGCAATTCGAGAAGATACCCGAACTGGCAACAAGACCTGGTTTAACTCGGTCATAGCAGCTTACACTGGTTGGAAAGACTGCAGAAATGATCCGGAAACAGCCATCTTATTTGGAGATGGTGAGAAGATGCCGGCCGATGTGATGAAGAACCTAACAGCAATGTTAGATAAATTATCGGTAGATATCACTTGGCAGAAAGGCGATGTATTTATGGTAGACAATCGCCAAGTTCTTCATGCCAGAAGACCCTTTACTCCACCTCGTACTATTTTAGCAGCACTTTGTAAATAAACTACCATAAACATTTTTAGATGTTTCCATCTACGATTATTTTCAGAACTTTTGGTATATTTAGAGTGTGGTCAACTTATTGTCTGATGGCATCCAAACCCTCGGTTATATTCTAGAGAGATGTATAAAAAACGAATTTTGAGATTGTTTTGTTGGATATTGCCAGCTGTACTCTGTATTTGGTGTATATAAATGTAGATATTTCAATCATAAAATGTGTCTGTTCTCCGATTCTTGAACGAAGAGAAACCTAACCCTGCAGATATTTGTCCGTGTCAATTTCGGGTTTATTGTACTCAACGTTTCAACGGCGAAAACAAGGTACATTGTTGAAGCGATATGTACAATAAAATACATGGGTAGTATATCATAATATTGTGTTCTGTTATTTAATGTGACCATACCCCAAAATGTCGTTTGAGGATAATGTTTGGAAAAATTGTATGACCTAATACAAACCCTTCACCAAGCTCTTGAACATTCCCCTCGTTCTTCCTTAGACGCTTCAAATGTGTCTGTTTTGCCAAATTTAATGTTTTGTACATCGAAAAATAAGGGTATTCAATTAATCTAGAAGGGAGAGAGATCAAGACAACCTTTGTCTTTGTATTAATTTGTAAACCACTGTGGTGCTGCATGGACTAGATAGACACCTTAGTGGACTCGACTGGCAATAATGAATAACATCTCATCGCGATCCCGTATGTGTAAAATTCCGTACTCACCGAATTGTCCGAATTGGACCAGAAAAGACCTAAAATGAGACTCAATTACGTCAAAGTCCACTGGCCCTCTCCCCTAAAAAGCCACATCCTTCCCCGTAAAATATGGAAAAACAGTTATGAATTGACTTACAGAGG